CAGCCGGCCTCACCATGGTCTGCACCACGGGCTGCCCGGGAATCCCTGCTCCAGCGCCTGGAGCACCTCCTCCCCCTCCTTTTCCACTAACCTGGGGGTCTGCAGGGCTGTTGCTCTCATGTATTCTCACTCTCCTTTTCTGGCTGCCGTGAACAGGTTTATCCCCTTCTTCTCAAATATGTTATCCCAGAAGCTCTACCACTGTTGCTGAGGGGCTCGGCCTTGGCAAGCACTGGGTCCATCTTGGAACCATCTGTCATTGGCTCTGTTGGACATAGAAGAAGCTTCCAGCAGCTTCTCATAGAAGCCACCCCTGTACCCGCCCCTGCTACCAAAACCTTGCCATGCAAACCCATTACATTTATGGAGAAGCAAAAGAGGGTGGGAACTCCCTGGGGTGTGAGTCAAGTCCCTGTGTTGACTGGGGTATGGAAGGGCGGCTTTGATTAATGTTCTTTCTTGGGGTGGGTTTCCCCTCAGTTCTCCAGAAAAGATTATTCACTGGGGCAAAGACCCAGATTTTCCTTAGTTGACTCAGTTTTCCATCTGTCAGGTAATAAAACTCTTGTCATCATAATTGATATGAATAAAGAGCTTGAATAAAGAATTTGAGGGTTTCAACAGAGCCGTTGTCTAACAAAGTTACCGGAAAGCTATAATCCTGTATCCTTTTAACCAGAATCTTAAAACTGTGTTGGTTGTCTTACCTTCCCTTTGATTTTGAATTCTTAAAACTTCTCCTGCACTGTTTCTTTAGCTTGTTCTTGTTCATGAAAACGGTGTTTATTTGTCTATTTTTGACACACTCTTCTTTTTCTTTTTTTTTTCCTTCTCCCTTTGATGGGGCATTTTAGGATAATCTTTTTGAATGGCACTTTACTGTTAGAGGCCCTCCGGATTCAGATTTTGACGGAGGGGTTTATCATGGACGAATAGTACTACCACCTGAATATCCCATGAAACCACCCAGCATTATTTTGCTGACGGTAAGCATGTTTACTAGTGTTTTCCCTTTTTATGTGATTGATTTAACCGTAGGTGTCTGAGAGAGATTCTTGGCATTTAAGGCAATGCTACCTTTGTAAGAAAGGTGCCATAGTACAGTTAATTTTTTTGTATTTAAATTTAAATGTCAATTTAAAACCCAGAGCTTTTCAAGGTGCCTTTGGTATTCTGTAATTACACGAAGAGTATTCCACCTGATAAGTGAAAGTTTTCTCCTGGAGTAATCACATTGCTGATGTGGTTGTCTAACCTTCTGTTCTTTCCATGGACCCTCTTGGTCTCTCTTGGAGACACTGGTCACATGTTGGAAGGCAGACCTATGGTTTGGCCCACGTTTGTGCATAGTTTCATAGAGCTGTAGCTTTTCAGGTTCTCTGCAGGAGGGGGGGTGGGTTACAGGAGCAACGGGCAAGCCACCATGTCACACTGGGCCATGTGAGGTATCAGTTAAGGGTTTCTTCATGCATGAATAGAGGCAGATGGCAGATTTCTTTGTTCAGAAAGCTGAATCCCAGTTGTGTGAGGTTGGCAGTAACATAATTATCAAATATTGTTTGCATATAGATTTGTTTGATGATGTTTTTTACAACTTGCACCAAAACCCCAGCGTTAACTTACAGCATGTTTTATTATATGTTCTTCTTCTTTTGAAGGCCAATGGCAGGTTTGAAGTGGGGAAGAAAATTTGTTTAAGCATCTCAGGGCATCATCCTGAAACATGGCAGCCTTCATGGAGCAGTAAGTAACAGTTACTGATGATCAGAGCGCTGGAGCACCTCTCCTAATGATGAAAGGCTGGGAGAGTTGGGCTTGTTCAGCCTGGAGAAGGCTCCGGGGAGCCCTTATTGCAACCTTCCAGTACCTGAGGGGGCCTACAAGGAAGCTGGGGGGGCCTTTTTACAAGGGCCTGTAGTGACAGGACGAGGGGTAACGGGTTTAAATTGAAAGAGGGCAGATTTAGATTGCACATCAGGAAGAAATTCTTCACAGAGAGGGTGGTGAGGCACTGGAACAGGTTGCCCAGAGATGTTGTGGATGCCCCATCCCTGGAAGTATTCAAGACCAGGCTGGATGAGGCTTTGAGCAACCTGGTCTAGTGGAAGGTGTCGCTGCCCATGGCAGGGGGGTTGGAAGTAGATGGTCTACCCCCATCAAGCAACTAGATCTCTAAACTGGCAAATCTCACAAAGAATGTTTATAGTGGAAATGGAGATGGATTTTGAGGGAGTAAAAGTATGGGAGCGTTTGAGAAATGTGAAGTCATGAAAGAGCAACATAGGAGGGTTTGGGAATAGTATTAAATAGATGCAGGATGAAAGAGTTAAACTGAGGGGTGATGGTAAGCTTTCAGTTATTTGGATGCACGAGCATTAAGAATTCTCAGACTACTTAGAATATTCTTTGGTTTCCTTTTTTTTTTTTTTTAATTTGTTCTTATGAAATTACTTTAAATCCTATTACTTTACCCCTTTTTGGTATAATTACTATAACCAACCTGAACATTGACAGAGAGGAGTGTTGTCAGAGTTTAGTTCGGCTGCTGTACTTCTGAACACTCAAGAAGAAAGGCAACACAGTCCGAGTTCAGAATAACTGAATGTTTTCTACCTTTTTTTTTTAAAGTTTCATTATCAAAGAAATTGAGATCTAGCACAATTCATCCAAGGCAGTATTTCTGTGTTTATATAACTTTAGTTTTGCTGAGTACAGTACGTCAATTATTTTTATGCAGTCAGTTGAATTTTTTAAAATATATTGATAAGATCTTAGTTTTCTAGCACACTATTCTTCAACTTCTGCAGTCTCTTAGGTTTTTTAAGAAGTAGAAAATCCTGTCTTCTAAGAAGGAGGTATAAATATCTAATCTCTGTTATGTGGTACTTACCTTCCTGTGATATTTACCAAATCAACTAGTAAAATGCCTTGAATTCTTAAATTTCATGACTGTAAAACAAAATTGAAGGATAGATGTTGTCAAAAGAGATGTTTTAGGTGACAGTTCTGTTAGGAGCTGTTGCTAGTATTTAAGTAATGTTCTTCCCCAGCATCATGACATAAAAGGAAAACATTCTGCAGTACATTGCAGAAAAGAAACCACCGAGTTTGTGCGCACTAAATTGCAGCATTTGCATCTAATAGAAAACACAGACAAAAGGAAGCATGCCTTATGAATCCTCCTCCTCTTGTACACCCACTTATGTTACTTCTGCCTCACCTTTTTTCCTTCAGAACCCATTTTTAAAGTCTGGAACTCTATATTGATGCAACATTTTTGTGACAACTTACCTCTTCTGTGTAGTGGCTGATGGAAGAATAAGGCTTTACCTTTCATTTATAATGTGAATTTTGAAAAGGAAGAAAGCCTTGCTGTGTACCAAAAAAAACAGTGCTGCTTGTATAAAATTCAGACTACTACTCCTTTGGGCAAAATGAAGTTTTGCAGGCAGAACTGCAGCTTTTCTGTACTGAGTGTAGAGTGAGATGAAATGACAGTTGTTTCTGCAACCTGGTTTGTATCTCTGTTTTCCCATTTTAGTAAGAACAGCTTTACTAGCCATTATTGGATTTATGCCAACCAAAGGTGAAGGAGCAATAGGATCTCTAGATTATACACCGGAAGAAAGAAGAGCTCTTGCGAAGAAGTAAGCACTAGATTTGTTACTGTGGGTACACATACATGTGCTCTCTTTTAGGGTGAGGGGTAGAAAATAAGTCATTTCAGTCTGTTCTCTTGCATTTATTCCAAATATAAAAGTTCTGTGTCTTGTATATGTTTGGGTTTTTTTTGCCCCTGAACACTGTGCAAACTCTGAACTTGTGGTAAAACCAAATACTTTGAGAGGGTTGAGTTTCTTCTAGCATTGTGTGGTCAATTTAGAGGTTTGTTTGAAATTCAGGCTTAGAGATGTAATTAACATTGTGATATAGTGTTAATTGCAGTGTGGAAGGAAAATGAGTCTGATGGAACTGATAGTAAGTGTAAGTGAGGGAATAAAAACCCAAAACAATGATGCATCATTTCCCTTAAGTAAATAATAATAATAATGAAACAATAACAAAAAAAACCTTGAAGCAACTGCTTCTGAATAATTTTTAGGAAATTAACTTAAAATTAAATTTGTGGCTCTGAAATTATTAGGTCAATAGAAAAGGGAAAGGCAGTGGATGGTGTTTGTCTTAAGCAAGGCTTTTGGTGCTGTCTTCCTTACCATCCTCAGAGAAAAACAGCCTAGGCAAGTGGGTACAGTAAGGAGGATGAAGAAATGGCTGAGCTGCCCAGCTCAAAGGATTGCAGTAAGCAGCACGAAGTCCATCTTCAGACTGGTCACTACGGGTGTATTCCAGAGTTTGATACTGAGGCTAGTGCTGTGCAGTGTCATTAATGACCTGGGTGATGGGGCAGAGTGCACCCTCTGCAAGTGTGCAGAGGATAAAACACTGGGAGGGTGGCTGATACACCCAGAAGGTTGTGCTGTCATCCAGAGGAAGCTCTGTAGGCTGGAGGAATCTCATCAGGCTCAACAAAGAGAAAAAGTCCTGCCCCTGGGGAGGAATAATGCCAGCTGACCAGCTGGAAAGCAGCTTGGCAGGGGAGGACCTGGGGGTCCTGGTGCTCCCCAAGCTGAATGTGAGGCAGCAACGTGTCCTTGCAGCAAAGAAAGCTAATGGCATCCTGGGATGCATTAGGAGCATTGCCAGCAGGTCGAGGGAAGTGATCCTTCCTCCGTACTGACCACTAGTGAGACATCTGGAGCGTTGGGTCCAGGTTGGGGCTGTGTCCAGGTTGGGGTACCAGAAAGGTAGGGACTTACTGAAGTAAATGTAGTGCAGTGCCACAAAAGGTGATTGAGGAACTGGAACGTGTTTCATCCAAGGAGAGGCTAAGGGAGCTGGGAGTGTTCAGCCTGGAGAAAAGGAGGCTCAGGGAATCTTATCCAGGTGTACAAATATCTGAAAGGAAGGTGTAAAGAAGGCAGAGGCAGGCTCTTCTCAGTGGCATCCAGTGACAGCACAAGAGGGTATGGGCGCAAACTGAAACGCACAGAATTCAATCTGGATGCAAGAAAACATTTTTTTACTGTGAACATGGTCAGAGCAGTAGCACAGGTTGTGCAGAGAGGTAGTGGAGTCTCTGTCCTTGGAGGTATTAAAAATGTGACTGGAAAATAGACCTGGGCAATGTGCTCTGCTTGGCCTTGCTTTGACCAAGGAGGCTGAACTAAATGATTTCCAGAGCTCCTTCCCAACCTCAACTATTCTGTGATTATCCTTAAATGAAATCTTATACCTGTGGGGTTTTTTGGTCTTTCTCCTTTCCCTGTCTGGGAAGAAGGTACTTGAAAGACCACATCCCTGTCTTACAAGCATCTTGTAACCGTATTCCAAATTGTAACTAGTACCTTATTTTGCAGGCAGATGTGAGCGTACGCTGCCTGTACTCTGAGCCAGTCAGAAGCTGCACGTTTCCTGTTAGCATGGCACTGAGTCAGAGCTAATAAACCCTGCTGAGAGGTAGGGTTTAATGGGTTGGTCTTGATAGCCTGCTATCAAGGCTGTGTGGTTTCTCACTGGCTTGGAGAGTTGCCTGCAGTGTGCCCTTTAGACACATTAGGCATGCAGGAGAGGAAAGGTGATGCTTTTGCAGAAGCTGAAATTCCTGGATTTGGGGTGCGAGCTCCTGGGTCCAATTTAATATTTGTAATAATAATTAGATCTTTATAATTTACAATTTTAATTTGCTGCAGATATAAAGTGAGTTTTAAAATGGTAACAAATTATTAATAGATTATAGATAATAGTAATAGGTAAGTCATGTTAATGTTTTCCTAAATGACATGACACAATATGCATATTTTCCTAAATGACGTGAGGCAATATGCGTATGTAATAGATAATCCTCGACGTATTTTTTCAAGATAATGTGATTTAGGGTGGGGGGCGGTACTTTCAAGCTCCTAGTCTTGACACCACTTGTCTTTCTGTGGATTGTTTTGCGAAGAGTTTGTTTCAACAAACAGACAAGAACGTTATGAGAACGTGGTGTTCTGAGCTATGTCATTTGTGGCCAGGTCACAAGACTTCTGTTGTGAAATGTGTGGCACATCTATGAAGACAGCCCTTTTACCACTGACATCTGGAAGTGTGTCAAGCCAGGCGGACAAGGAGGCCAAAGAACTTGCCAGACAAATTAGCTTCAAGGTGAAGTCACTGTTTAAACTTTTATCTCTGTGGTATAGAATTAAAAAACCTCACCCTGCAGAAAAACTTGTAAATTGCAGAAATATTTATAATTTCATAAACCTTCTTCGATCACTATGTGAAAACCTGTTTTTTTAGGACAGTCTGAGAGAGAAAAAATAGGAGTGGATCTCTTGCAATGTGCCAGTTAATAAATTATGCATCTCAAGCACTGATTGATTAGTTTTCATTTTAGTGGTGAGTGCTGTGATAAGAACTGCCTAACTGTGTTGGTTTTACTTCCATGTTTTCAGTCATTAATAATTTGATTAAATTCTCCAGGAACAGTCATATCATAAAAGTGTTAGTTAGTTTTGGGCAAAGCTAACCTAAATTTTTTTTTCCTCTTGTGATTCCCACTGCTACCCCCTCCCCTCCCAACTCCTCCTCCTTTTGACTTATGGAAGGAATAAAACATATTCCTACTGAAAAAGGGTTGCAAATTCTTTTGAACTTCCCTGCAGCTGAAGATACTGAAAGTTGAACTCTGGTATGGAAGTTGCTGTTACCCAAAAATGTGTCCTCTAGCTTGTGTTTCAGTGAAAGTAAGGTTTGTTTACCCAAATCACGTGCCTCAGAATATTGTATGTCTTGCATGCACAGTGTTGATTTTCACTGGGTTTTCCACTAAACTCTTAAATCAGCCACTAAAGAAGATGCTGTGCATGAGGGCAGGGAACTATAATGAAATATGTCAAGACAGTGTGGCATTGGCACAGAGCACATCCTCACTAAGGTCAGGGATGCTAATACGTTCCCTTTTATCACCAACGTTTTCCTAACACTGCCCTAAAGACTAGTGTGTTGTGTGTGTGTGTGCCATGAGGGTAAAGACTGCCTCCCAGTGAGTGTTGCTGCCAGTTTTGCTGTATGATCTCCCATCTGGGCACATCGACGTGGTTTGGTCTGTGTGTAACGATGCTTATGATAAAAACATCTCAAAATCTTTTACAAGGATGAGGAGATGCAGGGGCAGAGTTTTGAAGTTGAGCTGCTCGGAGAAGCAATCGGCTGCCTGCTCCTGGCTTTTTCACAGTAGAAAAGGGTTAAAAAGAGGAAGAATATTTTTTACATAAGAACTGCTAATCTTAATCACAGGAATTCTAGAAATATCAGAGTATAATTTTTTTTTTTTTTAGAAAGAATTCAACTTTTGTTTCATACCTTTTTCAGTTTTAAAATGAAAGACTTAGGGAGATCAATCTCTAAAGAATGTTGGTGCATTCCATGTTTCCACATACTTAACTCCACCTCCGAAGAACAAGCACTCAGCAAGGGTAAAATGAACGAACGCCTCAGGTTTCTATAACCTTTCACAGTCCGTTGTGGTTTTTTTACAAGGTACATCAGTTCTGTCCTCTGGTTGTGCCTTCCCTCTCTTTCTCAAATAAAATCTTAGGGATTTTTTAAGCTTCCTGCTGCTCTGCTTTGATTGACTGTTATTGCTTGATGTTAGACTGAAGCGTTCCACTGATGTGTAAACTCATACTATGAATTACTAGCAAGGGATACAAAAGTGTTTAATAATTTTGATCTATTTTATGTCGGTTTATGGGGTTTTAACATCAGATTGCTGATTGAGTGTAGAATTTGAGAGACCGTCTGTACTAGCAATCTCTGCATTATCTTGACCCTTAAAGAAGAAATTTCTTAACCGTTTCTACATGATGCTGGGATTATGTAAAATTATTTCACACCAGCCTTAAGCAAAATGGCATCTTTAAAAAACAAGCACGCACCCCCAAAAAACCAAATTAACCTCCAAAAAAGCAATACCTGTGTGTGGTATTGAGAAGGGAATATGAAATTCAGGAGAAAAACATAAGAAACCACATTTCCTCATTACAATTTTCCTGCTTCTGTGAGGCTCCACCTTTTGTTCCTGTCTGTTTTAATAGGAAATTATATTTTTATATTTTATTTATATTTTTAGGTTTAGTTAGCACTTTCGTGAACTAAAATAAATGCACGTTTTGTAGTCCATGTGCCTTATAGAGATTAATAGTAGAGATGAAATGAGCTGCTCTTGGAAAAAGCAGATGTATGAAAAGCAGTGGTCACAGGTTCAAGGGAAGGATGGGAAAGGAAAATTCACCCTGTGGGTTGTCAAATGCTGGAACTACCCAGAGAAGCTGTGGACCTCCAGCTTTGGAGATGCTCATAAGTTGACTGAACAGTGGGGCTCCAGTCTAGCCTGAATTACTCATAATCTTGTGTTGCTTTGTTGCTGGTCCGTATTTGAGTCATAACTAGTTCTGTCTAGTGTTAGAGTTCATAATGGTCAAGTGCAGAAGGAAAGCAGTGTTGTCAGGCTGTAAGTGTTTTTAAATCTTGAATTCATCTTCAGGTTGCTTCACTTATATATTTTTCAGATTCTTGTGGGATAATCTAAAGCAAGAAACAGGGATTTTAATTTCCTTACACAAAATAGCATCATGAAAGAATGTTACCTTGTGATCTTACCAGCTTACCACCATTAACTAGTTGGTTTCTAATATACTGTTTGTATTTCTTACTACTACTATCACCACTACTTATATCTGCATTTGAAGACTATACAGGATTGGATTTGGAATTGTCATCTTTATTATAAATTGAGGTCTCAATACACAACTTGCTGATAAAAATGAATCTAGTCATGACTTTTTTGGATAAATTTTCAAGTGTTTCAGTTCAGAACCGTGATGCTCTCCTTTTTCATTGCCAAGGGATTATTGCAGGCATATATACTGTTTTAACAAGAGGTTTGTTCGTGATCATCTACATGTCACTACTGATCTCTTGCTTCAAATTTCCAAAAGCATGAACCCTAAATTCTGAGAGCCGATGTTTATTAGACGTTTTATAAATGTGTACAAAAGCAGTATCATAAGGCTTGTGTATTTTTCTTTTGCTTTGCTTGTGCTGAAATTTAAACGCTGCAAACTGGGGTACGTGTACCTGACACAGGGTAGTGCCATGCAGATGTGCCCACTCTGGCAAGGAAGCAACTTTGGTACTAGAACCAGTGTAGCCACATTAAATTAGGAGGTACTGGAGGCTAGTTAGTCCTGCTGAGAAACAAGCTATATTAGTTCACGTGTAACAACAGTAGTCAGCATTCACTCAAGGACACGAGAAACACAAGTTTTAAAAAATGGTGTCATTTCTGGCATAATGTTATCTTGGATCTTCTGAAGAATTTTCTGGTTTGCTTTATACATCTGTGCGGGTTTTTTTTTTAATATTGTATCTGTTATGTGCAAACAAAATTGGTTTTAAAACTGTTGTTTGCACATCTATGGTCTATAAAGAATGAGAATTTCTTAAACCTGCTGATGTGTAATTGAAATGCAGTTGGCATACTGAGTATTATGTCTCAGTGAGTTTCATATTCTCCATACATTAAAATGCACATTCCAAAATAAGCTAAATCTTTTTTGGAGCAATTTTGATCTTGTCTCTGAAGTGTACATATTTACTCCTTGTAGGCAGAAGTCAATTCATCCAGGAAGTCTGATGCTGGACCCTCAGACACATCAGGATTGAACCACTCGTCTGCTTCACGTGAGCCCCGTCAGGATGGCGCAGCTAGAGCGTTCCAGGTTCCAACAAGTGCAGTGGTACGGTCTGACTTTGAGCTGCTTTAGTGCAAGTACAGGCATATTGTACTTAAATTGAAAGCGGTGAGATTTAGATTGGACATCAGGAAGAAGTTCTCTGGGCAACCTGTTCCAGTGTCTCACCACCCTCTCCAGGAAGAAGCTGTGGATGCCCCATCCCTGGAAGTGTTCAAGGCCGGGCTGGACGAGGCTTTGAGCAACGTGGTCTAGTGGAAGGTGTCCCTGCCCATGGCAGGGGTGTTGGAACCAGGTGATCTTTAAGGTCCCTTCCAACCCAGCCCATTCTGTGATAGTCTGAACGTGAAATTGGTATTATTAATCTGATTGGAGGCTTCTAGAAGAAATGTATGAACTACATACTCTTAATGAACTTCTACATATTTTTATATAAAATCTTTAATGTATAGGTTAACAAGTTCATAACATTATGGTGTCTGAAGTGCTACAATTTACCATCTGCATAATATATCACAATATTTTGCAATAGAATCCTTAGCCAGAGACAAAAAAAAAAAAGTTTTGGTCATCATTTGTAGCTTTTAAATATCAGTAAAGGATATCTTTGTGGTTTTTATAATCTCTTAGGTAAATCTGACTAAAACATTCTTACCATTTGAAGTGTGACACTTAGGTTTTAATACAGCTAGGTGTGGGACTTACATAATGGTTTCAGAAGTGACCGAGGCCTGGTGATGGGCCAAGGCAGCTGCTGTTGTGACTGTGGCAAATGCAATCTAAATTCACTGATAAATTGCAGACAAATCCCAGCTAAGCTGTCTTTTTTAGAGAGGATGGGGCTGCAGATCGTTTAAAAAAACTAACACACGTCAAATAACGTCAGACCATCTGTTGTGTGTTTGCAACATATTTTCAAGCTATGTAGAAATATAAAGATGCTAATAGCATACTTTTGTCCCACAATAAGGATTTTTCCAGATTGTTCAGGATTTAATAAACCGTTTTATTTTATTCTTCTTATTACAAATCCTGGCTAATATAGTAGAACTAGCCAAAATACCAAGGCATCACTAGCATTTTCTTGAGGACACAATTTTTTTTTATTAATCCCATTTCTAAGAAATTTGTTTAATCAAATTATGCTGATTTAGTAAGTAATGGTTAACTTAAGTTTCAGCAGAAGAGTCCTATGTGAAATGAGACCTTTAGGCATATAAATATCTATATGTGATAAGCTGTAAATGATGAAAAGTGGATCCTTCTTTTAAGGGATCCATGTCACATTCATCATTGTTAGTTTGTGTTTGAAACAATCCCTGTGTTTCTTAGCTGCCACACTTTGAGTGTTAGGAGTTTTTGTGGAGCCATTGAGGAGTGACTTACGGTCACAGTGCAAGGAAGAAATGTGTAACAGGAAAGACTAAAGAATTTGAGCTTGCTATTCTTGTGTTCTTATTCATGCATTCTATTCTATGCATTCTATTCTATTCTATGCATGCAATTCTATGATTCTATGATTCTATGCAGAAGTTAATAGAAATCTTCTCAAAGTGGGGGGTGTGGGGCCTTGACCTGCTAATAGGCGTGAAAGAGTTTCCATGCAAACCTCAGATGCTTTCTGTTCAGCTGGGCTTCTTGCATGTGTAAAATCAGTTTGTTGGGTTAGTCCTTGTTGTGTGAAGACCTAATTCTACCTTACTAAGTTGTAAGTGTTAGATGTGGGCGATATCACAACTATTTTTTTTCTCTTCTTGGATAAAGTGTTTACCCCAGTTACTCTACAAATGTGTTTTAATTAAAAGCTGTTGTAGAAAATTTGCAGTTGTGAACCTGAAATTTATGTCCTTTGAGAATAAAAAGGGCAGAGGGAGACCCGATGCTGAATCCTTGTATTAGCTTGCTTAATTCTTTCTGGTGTGGTAGATTGTGCATAACTCTGAAGTCATGGGACCTTAGATCCCATGAGATTGGAAAACCAATCTCCAGACTGCTTCATGGGCTGGTTTGTTCTTTTGAGCAACAATTGTCTATTCCATTATTTTTACCTTTAAGCTGTTTGAAAGGACAGATTTTTTGCAGTGAACTAGTGTCAGGACAGTTGTGAGTGCAGTGGTGACCTTCATGGCATAGATTTAACTGTCTTATGTGAGGAGCATGCCGAAATGGGTCCCTGGCATGGCATCGCTTCGAGTCCATTCCTCCTGTTCCACACGCAGCTTTATTCCTGAAGAGAGAATTTCTCATTCCATCAGCAGAAAAGATATTTTGAATTAACTTTCCCTTCTGTCAGCTTTTGCTCAGCAAAAGGAATGTAGCTTCCCTGTCTAAAGAAGCACCAAGACTTAGAGTGTTTTCAGCAAAGCATTTTCTTACATTTCAGAACTCAGTTTGAAATAGTAGTTTGTGCTTCAGCAATGGCAATTGTTATATTAAGAGCAGTGCTATCTTAGGGTGAATTGTGTATAATACAGTGCTGTAGTCTTGCAGCTCACCCTCAGCCTTTCCAGTATGGTTTGGCAGAAAATGCCTTAAAATTGGATGGGAATTGTGTCTTGTGAAGTGTTGCATTAGTCTAAAAATTGACAATTTTGCTGAAGGAGAATTAAAAAACTTGCTGGAAGTAAAGACAAGAAGGCTCTTTTTTTTAAATTTACAGTACAGCCCATCTGCCACTTTTGGCATTCTTAATAATTGAAGACTTCAAACAAAAAACCCTTTATCTAGATGGGTACATTATTTAAGATACATTAGCATCTAGTCTTACACTTACATTGAGTAATGATAACTCATTTCTTACCTAACTTGCTTCTACATGTCTGCTAATAGAATCATAGAATCACAGGATGGTTTGGGTTGGAAGGGACCTTAAAGATCATCTAGTTCCAACCCCCAATCTAATACTTGCTCATTGATTATGTGGGGAATCCCAAGGCAGGGGATTAGCTCAGCTTTGGGGGAAGCACTCGGTCTCCTGTTGCCCCGATGCATCTATATATATTTCCTCAAAAAAAAAAAACGAAAAAAAAAACCCACAAACCAAACCAAAAAGAAAAATGGAAAGCCTTGCAATTGCCAGTGAGATTTCTCTCAAATTACAGCTCTGTTCATGTCAGCACATGGCACCTTGTTTCATTCAGAACAGGGTCTTTCTGTTCTGTTTCAAAAACTTGCAGTACTGGGAAGAAAGCCAGGTGTGTGACAGCCAGTGCCAGTTACTTTGGTTAAGTATGAAGGATCAGGAGTATTTCTGGACTTATTAAAGCAACTTTTAAAAGAGAAATTTAAAAACACCACCACTTTGCCTGCTGAATTTGCAGTTCTTGCTTCCTGAATTCACTTCTCTCCATCTCCCCCTCTGCAAAATGGGAGGGTAGATGATTCTAGGAACTTCATTTTCAAAGGCTCAGCTTCCCTAAGTCTTTATTTTCCTTGGCATGAGGAGCTTTTCAAGTAGCTTCAGCATGAAGCAGAAAAACTCTCTTCTGCACCATAGTGGAAATCGTGGCAAGCTGCTCATGGTGTTCTTGGCTGTCTCTGCTGATTAGATAAATATTTTAAAAACATTTTTCTTTGAAGCTACCCAAGCTGCTTGCTTGCTCAGGCAAGAAACCGATGTAAACGGGCAAGTTGTCAAATGTGACGAGTCATTACTTCCTTGCTGATAATGAACAGTGGAAAATACAGTTGAGGAGGAGGTAGGAAAGGAAAGTCACTTCTCTGGGCTAGTGACATCACTGCCTAGGTGAAAATTTGGAGGTTCTTCTCCCACATGCAGAATATGTGGCCAAAGACTTGCAGGACAGAGTATTGCCTCCTGTCTTGTGGATCATCAAACCTGATACACAGCTGAGGACATTCCCTGTCTGGCCATGTGGAATGGATATCTTTTGTGGATATAGTCAGCTGGCCAAAACAGTGCTTAGGGTTGCGGATATTGTGTCCATCAAAAGGCTTTTCCTTGGAAGCAAATACAGAATGTCTAGAATTCTGGTTTTATCTGCTGTAATGATGCTTTTAGAAGAAGGCAGGGGGTTAACTCTGGAAAACAGCTGCAGGTTGCTTTAAGTGGGAATACCTCCAAGCTCTTCTGAAAAGTGACAGGATTTCTAAGAGCTACTTCTTTGAAACACTTTGAAACTGAACCTTTTCAGGATGTTTTATTTTCAAGAACAGTGCTGTGTCCCCCTTTTTAATATTAAAAATAGTTGACGGTTTGAGTTTTGACTGTGGCAAGCAGGATTAGGCTGGTGGGATATCAGAACCCCTAGTTTCAGTCTTACAAACTGAAAAATTATTTTCTTCAGAATACTCTCCAGAGCTGAACATCAGTTGCCACCGTCAATTTCCTTACTCCCTGTCACGGCACACCAGCGGTTGACCAGGAGAGGGCAATAGGTAGGTGTAAGTATTGTGTAGGTACAGAGCTCCTCAGGGGTTTGGGTTTGTTTTTTCTAGTGTTGTTGGTGCTGATGAGGACAGACTTTTGGACCCAGCTGCCCAGAGGAAGGCATGCAGCATTGCTTAATTACAATTCTCTGGATCTGCCTCCTCCTTTTCTTGCACCCTTCCCCACCCCAGCTTGTTTCCCCTTCAGTGTAGGTGACAGTACAAATCCTCAGAGACTTCACTGGCTGGAGGATTACTAAAGATTTCTTCAACTACAAAGAGTTAAGCAAATCCTAGACAGAGATACTTGAAATATCTTGGTTTGGAATGAATCTAGAATTCAAATATTGTTTGACACACTTGCTTCAGACTTTTTTTTGTCCTCAGAACTACTAATTTCCGGCTTGAAATACGCTATCTTTAGAAGAAGTCTGTGGACAAAAATGATGGCTGTAACGATCTCATAACTAATAGTGATACGTGTTATCAGGCTTTCAAGTAGTAGCAATTACCGAAGAGTATGTTTTAACCCTGATGACTTTATTCCTTGCTAACGTTACGCACTGTCTCGCCTCACAACTCTTCACCTTTCCTTTTTAGTCTGAAACTCCGAGTAGCAGTGCAGCCGCCAGCCAGGAGCGTACTCCGCCTGTGTCCACCAACACATCTCTGAGTCCTCGGCAGCGCCGTGCCCAGCAGCAGAGTCGGAGACGGGCTCCGTCTTCAACTGACTTTAATCGGGTACAGCAACCACGAGTCAACATGAACCACACTGGGTCAACTGTTCTCATCGTCCTTCTGACTTTTGCATTGGCAGCTCTCATATTTCGTAGAATATGTTTGGCTAACGAGTACGTGTTTGAGTTGTAAGGTTGTTTCTGTCGTAACAGCAGTGACTTGGATGCTTCATTGAACATTCTGTATTGGCTATGACATGAGAACTGTTTACAAAGATTACCTTTTGTATTTACGCTTAAGCCCTTATGAATGTTAATGTACCTGCAGATACATTACTTGTAAGAAAAGCCAAGTTGGACATTTAACTACAGGTGTTAATTGAGTGCCCACTAGATGCTTGGAGAAATGATGCAGTGGAGTAGTAACATTAAGGCAGTGTGGGACATTACTCAGTCTGAGTAATTGATCAACTAGGAAAAGACAATTTTTAACAAGTGGTTGATTCACTTTTTTTATGGCAAGTAAATGCAATTCATCACCCCATCTAAGCTGGTATAAGATCTGACATTGGAGAAGGAATTATAAAATGAAACACTGCTACGTGTTTGTGTCCAGTGAACTCTTAAATTAGAGGGGATACAGTTTTGTAACCACTTTTATTTACCACGACACATTTCTGAAGGAGGAACACGTACAAATCGGTCGTGATGCTGATCTGTGTGTGTGATGGGGGGGAAAGGAGTAGGGGAGGAAAGAAGGGGCTAGAAAACTACTTGCTTTATTTTGATTTTTATGTTTTTGGAAGAAAGATTGGATAATCTTCTGCAAGATTTGAATGTCCTCTTCTAATACTCTCAATTGTACATCGGTGTTTGGGTTTTTTTTTTAATTTGAAGATTTATATAAAACATGTCTATTCTTGCAGTAGTTATAAATATGTAATATAATTATTTACCCAGAGCTATTGTCTTTTAATTATACCAGAAATATACATAATGCGTTAAACTGAATGTTTCATATGTGCTTTTATTTACTAAAGAAAATTTAAATGTTGTTATACTTAAACTCTCATATATATGAACATCCTTAAGAGAAGTATTTATTAAAACCTTTGTAGTAATAAAGAATTTCAAGCCAGTCTTCAGTTACGTTTCAAGTATCACATGCCCTTTTGTTTGTTGGGGTTTTTTTAACCCTAAAATCAATTTTGCACCCAGAGGCTTTCTGCAGTATTACTTTATTAAGAAAGTAAGCAATTGGTGATATTCATGAATGTTGTGAAATCACATGTGCAAGCAATAGACCTGCAATTGTTAGGGTTTTGCGAGGTGTTGTCTGTGAATGTTTAAGTGTTATGGTGAAGTATGAGGAAGCAATCAGTGGGATAACTTTACTCTTGTATTATTGTTCAGATTTAAATGTGTTCTAGCATGTTTATTTCAAAGACAGTGAAACTTAGCTAACATGTTTCCTTGCTGTCAAACGTGATGGCACTGACTTAGTGAGATTCTCGCGCTGTTTCTCAGCAAGTATTTATCAAGCTACCTAACCCTTCCCAAGTTGTTAAATATAGTATGTATTGGTGTTTTGAGATATTAAATTAGCTATAACTTCTTCTAAAATAAGGAAAGCCCGTTGTGTGTCTAAAGGGGATGTGGAAATGAAAAAAAAAAAAACAACCAAACCCCAAAGTGTGAGTTCTTTTTAGCACTTCTTGTGGATTGTTGATAATCTTGTTTGCAGGTGCAACCAAAGGAAGATCAAAAAACAGTTTTCCTAAGTTCAGTCAAAAGCCTGAAGTTTGTTCAGACACTTCAGCAGTTACTTACCCATTCTGCTGCAGAACAATTTGGTATTGGTATGAATTGATGTGGTTTTATCCAATTTGTGTATTTATTACATTAGAAATTTAAAAAACCCAAACCCCCAAATCCCTCTCTCCAGATCCTGTAGCCTCTAAAATAAAGGTGGATGGGCTGTGAGGAAATAAGCTTTGAATGGATTCTGAAAACACCCTCTTCCTTGCAGTTAAAGAAACAGCTGCTTTGTAGCTTTTCATTTTTATTTTGGACTTTTTAAATAGAAGTTAAAATGCCTGATTGTGCGAATACCTCTTTGAGAAAAAATAAACATTAATGGTGACGTGGTTTACGTAAAGAGCCGATTGCGTGTGTGGATGCTTTGGGGCTTACTGTGTTTTAACTTCCCTTTAGAAGTTAACGGTAGATGAAGTCATGTTCAGAGGAAATAGCTCACCTCTTGTCTTCAGCAGCATGAAGAGCCAGAACAAACTGGGAAAGGTGATCTTGGCTGCTCGGACACCATGTACATTGCACGGCAATACGCGCGTCTGAAACGTGGCACGGGCGCTTTCCACTTGAAAGAGATGCCATGCACAGGAACGGAAAATCTGGAGAGCCTAATGAAAAGGGACAGCCCGGTATTACGGAGTCTGGCAGAAGGATAGCATTGCCCTGAGATTAGGGGATTGAGCAGAAAGCCGGCGCGCAGAATTGCGGGTTTTTATATAATGGCTTTAGTAAATATCCTTTAGGACCCAGTGGAACGGTTTGGGGAGGCAAACTTCACGAGTAATGGCCAATCATTAAGCGGCGAGGAGGGAAAAGCTTTGAGCGAGAAGCCCTTGAAAGCCTGTCGGAAAACATCACTCCGGGAAAGCAGCGTTTCTGCCGGAGAGCACGCGACGCTGGAATTGGAGCTGGTTCAATGTTTAAACCCGGGGGTACTCGTACGGCAGGAGGTTACTGGAGTGCAGAGTGCCCAGCTCCTCTTTCCAGCAAGATGCCTTGTTTTGCAAAACTCCTTTTATTAATGTTCTGCTTAATTCTTCTTGTGGAGAGCAGGAAGCACCGGAGGAGGAGGTGGACGAGCCAGCTGGAGGTGCAGAGGGCAAGGTAAGGGCTACTAAAACACGTACATTTCTCTTCCTGTAGCCTTACAACCACATTATGGGTATGTACAAATCTGCCGTGTCAGTGCCTCTGTGTATACTGTGTGTGCAAACAGCTTTAGGAATAATGGTTTTTGAATAGTGTCGGATGCTATATGCAGTTTCAGCTGTAAATGGACCCGTTTGGTGATAATTAATTCTTAATAGGGCAGGTTTTGCATAGAAGTTCACCACTTCAGCATGGATAGTGGTAAAAATAGTCGTAGCCCCAGACGTGAATTACAGAGAGAAATCAGAGAAGCTGCAATGAGCAGAGTGCAGTTCAAATCTGTGTGTTGTTTGTGCACGGTTTAAGAGCAGGTTGTTAACCCTGCTTGCTGCAACGTCTGTGCTACTTACATTCCTGTGAACTGCATCTTATTTCCTAACAGTTTGAGGTGGGGGTGTTGGTTAGCATGTGTGGTGTTTAATTATTAATCGTCCAAATCCCTGGAAGTTACCCAGGGATCGTAAAATTAAAAATACGGTTTGAAGGAATGCGTGGAAACTTTACAAAACCACATATTTTCAAGTCAAATAAAGGCACAAGAAAGAGTTAAAGGTCTTAGTGAAGTTTATTAGATTTACTGTTGCTGAGATTTGACCGGAGGTTTGCATTAGAAAAGATAATCTTCCAAACCTGTCAGACAGTCGCAAGTATGTTATCCTTTTTTGTAGTTATGTCATCCAGTGGCAATTATACCTTACAAGATTGTTCATTGTTTGAAGAGCTCAAAAATAAAACGGGGTTAATCCATCTTATTGAACGGTTTCACTACGGCTGTAAACCATCTTTTCATGTATTTTGTTGGGGTTTTTTTGGTTCGATGCTTTTACTGGACGTGATGTTTCTCGAAGGTTTTACAGTGCGATGTTGGGACATAACTGAAGGCAAAGAATACCTAATATGCACTCAGTTTTATGCTGCTTACTGGAAAATACGGTGGCATGTGCTTTTGGTGACATAAATGTTATAAACCTGAAACAGCTAGGGCTTGATCCTGAAATCCTAAAGCCAACTGAAGTTTTGCCACTAATTTCCAGAGAATCTCTGTGATTGAATGAGATCTTTCATTTAACTCTGAAGACTTTTGCAGGTCTGTTTCTCGGAAATGTGGGGGATGTCACACAGCATTTTCTTGAAAACCATTCACTTGTAGTAGAGATCATCTACTTTGAAGTAACTATATAGTATAAATCCATTCTTTAAACATGACTTTGTCCAAGAGGAGTGCAGTTCTCTTTGTTAAAAGTTGAGTATTTTTTTACTTAAACATTGTGAAAATAATTTACAACTTCTACAGTGCTGTTATTTTTGTGAAGCTGTGGTAGAGTGGAAGTCAAAGCACTGCTAAAATTAGGTGTACAAATGAATTTACTCTGAAGAATAACTGATCCTTTTTGGTTCCCTGTGGAATAATGATTTTTAATGAACAGTTTTCCAGCCCGGTAGAACCTGAGGAAGTGTGTCTTCTATATATATACCTTTCCTATGCAATATACTTATTTAAGAGTATATAAAAACAAATTTTAGGGACTGTCAAATGTGGATGACATTTTAAATACAGAGAATTCTGCAATATTGGGGGGGAAAAAAGGTGTATGGAGCAGTGGCATTGATATTTTAAATTTCCAGTTATGCAAAAACAATAAAGTTGTCTAAGCCAGCAACAAACAGTGGATTGTTCTAATAAAAGCCAATTAAAACCAGCACCTCTGCTGGTTTTCTAATCATGTAAGGGCAGTGAAAACAGTGTCCTTTTTAATAACTGCATCACATTTTCTGCTTAGTGTTTCTCCTGCTGACTTGCCCTGAGAAATACAGTAATGGTATCTTAAAGTAAAGGTATTAGCCAAGAAAATTTACTCCTATGCTTGGGAATCCACGTCTGATCAGTTTGATATTTTGTGACACACTGATCTGATGTAAAGGTCTTTACAGTGATTTCAAGAAGCTAACTTGGGCTGTGGGGGTGCGGAACATCTTCAGCTCCTGTCTCTCGTGACTCGAACGTCGTGTTCCGTCTGGGCAGGCAGGCGTCCGCTGAGTGCACGGGGAAGCTGTTGTGCCTGTGCTTCATGGGAAAGGAATATGGCAGAGCAGGGTGGGGGCTGCCCAACAAGAAATGCCGGGTTGAGAGTTGCCTGTGCCTCCTTAATTACTCCTCTTGTTTTAATATTGAACCGTAATGCTTTATCTTTGCTGTGAGTGGTGCCTCACTCAGCAGGATGCATGGGTAACGCTTGCTTAATTAGACACGCCGTTGTTCTTCATTTTCTCTTACTCCTGCACCCCCGTCTCACTGGTAATGCAACTCTTCTACAA